TCAGACAGAGGCAGGGATGTCATGGAGAGGGAGGTCTGGTGTGACATTTTGGAGTATTGTATGGATATGCTGGAATTCTTGATAGTGTTGAATGGCCCAGGTGGTAATAGATTGGCGTCCATGGCACAGCTGTATGATCACCAATAAACTGATCAAGGTTCCAATGATAGAAGCCAAGAGTTCGAAGAACTCATGAGTAAAGTTTAGATCAGACAGATTTAGAGCAGGGGGCATTCAGTTTCTCAGCACAGTTGGGCCTGAGAAAGGGAAGCAAGAAGCTTCAAGCTAATTGTTAAGCCCAAACTCCATGTGACTATTAACATATGATAAACAGTTTAGAACCTTGCACTTTGGGTTAGACTGACTGAGTTCACTGATGTGTTAACAGAGCTGTGTGGTCAAGGCATTGCAAGTCACTCAAGATAGGATGGTAGAGAATAAACTTTAGCTTGAAGCTGGGGTATTACAGTGAGAGCTATGCTACTTAAATACTGTTCTGTTATCATGCTATAAATAAATGTTCACAAAAGATATTGTTCTGCTGTAGAGCTGTTACTCCTGCTGTTGCCAGACTCTCCACAAAAGCTGTTGTCTTGCTGTTATACTGTTACTGCTGCGCCGCAGTTAGAGGACAAAAGGAGTATTGTCTCTCCCTTCACAGTGCACAGCCACATGATAAGACAATGATCGACTGGGTTGCTGAGCTAAGTATTCCCACAGTCCTAAGCACTGGCCTAAGTGCTCTGACTAAGCAGAGATAGGGGTTATTTCCAAAGGAAAAGAAAAGAAAATAGAGAAAATCATAATAATAACTGAGACAGAGTATTCCCAAACATTCATGTGAAGAGCTTTCTCACAAGAATCTGATATATGGATCAGACAATGGCAAAAGGTGATCAGAGTATTAGTGAGAGATATAGAAAGTAAAGACATGTGAAAGATGAAAAGGTGCAACTGAGAAACAAAGCTAAGATATGTCAGCAAAGTGGGACATAAAAAAGTTTGTGAACTTTATATTCTAAGAGACTATGCATAGACCAAGATTAATGCTAGCAACTAAAAGTTCATAAACTTTACAAACATTTTTGCCTCAAATAAAAAAGCCTCTTCTGATAGGTGAAGAACACTCAGCTAAACTTCATAAACTTCTTAGTGTGACCAAGAATATAATTAGACACTATTAAGAAAATGCCAATTGATTGAGCTTGAGTGCATACATGGAGACTGACAGAGTGCATGAGTGTTAATAAAGCTATTAGCAACATCACTCTTGAGTTAAGGCATAAGAATTTAGATTGACAGAATGGAGTTCTATTGGAGAAGTGAAAAAAAGTGTCTTTCAGAGTAGAATCTGATGGACAAGATAGAGAGGAGCTGAAGTGAGCAAAAAGTGTAGATAGCTATCTAAGTTGATATTTAAACTGAGTAATTACAATAATTGTACATGGTTTATATACTATTAGTAGTTAATTCTGAATTAGAGTCCATTGGATTCCAGTGTCAGTTGTTTGCTATTATTTTTGGAGTCTAAATACTACAATATAAAATGCAGATATGAAATGATAATGATAAAATAAAATTAATAGTTAATAGAAAATAGGAGGAGTTTGGTGAAACTTAATGATTAAATCTGTGGTTAGTTGAAGTGATATGGAGGCTGGCAGCATGCATGTAACAGTATCCTCCTATTAGTGTTCTTGCCCTCAAGAGTGCAGATCCCAATACCCAGTAGGAAGGCATATAGCAGAAAAAATTTTTATATCATAGGAGTTTTGCTTTTTAACTATAACCATCATCTTCTCTTTTTCCTGAATATGCTATCTGTTAGATCTTATTGTCTCTTAAAAACTCCTGAGCCTCTGCTGCAAGAGTTGACCTTTAATAGCTCTCAAGAGACTAAAGAATTATTTTGTTTGAAATAGCAAACTAGAGAGGATGAGTTTGTAGAGACTGTAGAGAGCTATTTATAATAGCAAAGGAAGTAGAAAAGGAAGGAGAGGGTTTGGGTGAACCATATGGCCTAAAAAATATAGAAGAGGGAGCAGAAAGAGAAATTAGAACAGAAGAAAGAGGAGGTTCAGTGGACAGTAATATTGAAAAGGTTGAATAAGGATATAGAGAAGTTTGTAGAGAAAGGCTTAGCTATTACACTTTAAGATCTGGATGGATATCAGAAAAGATGAAGGGAGATGGATTCTATTTGTACCAAGTAGCTACATACTTATACTATTTGTAGAGTGGCATGTAATAAGACAAAGGTAACTAACAAAGACAATGTAAAATATTGAAAGAAAGAGGGAGGCTAACTAATAGTGATAAGTAAACACTGTATAGACAAAGAAAGGTAAAAGCAAAGTAAAGTAACAAAGAAAATGATCAAAGAAATGGTCTAGAGAGGGTGAATCCTCTACATCCCATACAAACTTCAATTTTCAGTCTTCAGGCCAAAATATGCATTGTATCATGTGTTGTTGATATCATCATCAAAATGTCCCATGAGGTGTGATGTATCTGTGAACTCAGTGATCTTAAACTCATTCTTTGACCTCATATAGTAGGGTACAAGCCAAAAATATGCTCCTTCTTGGGTGCACTGGACTACAACCATGAGACCAAAGTAGCAAGAATGAAACTTTCTGTTGATGCCGACTTTGATTTTTTTGTTAAGGACAAGGACTAGAGCATCAGGCTTGAAGTCATAGTTATGAATGATGTTTATAAATCACTGCTGAAAGTCCTTAATCAATTGAAATCTGGCTCTGATGATGCAGTGCTCAAGATTAGCTAAGTCTTCATCTCGTTTCTCAAGTTGACATACATGCATATACAATAGCTTAGACTCAGATATTTTTCTGATGATCTTAGAGAATAAGAATGTTATGAGCAGGATGTCAAATGAGAGGAGTAGTTCAACACCATTGAAGAGGATCTGAGCATACACAAGATGAAAACAGATATAGCAGAGCATTATCCACTGTTCACACTCACACTAACACACACATAAAACTCTTAGTTCATAGAGGGATTATAATGCGATAAAAATAGTAATCAACAGATATAATTGTCTTTTTCAATGAGATCACAGTGTGTGAACAGTAATAGTGCACTTACAACAGTCCGAGGCCTTTCTAAGTCTCACAGCTTTTTGTTTTATCAAAACAAGAGGTGGCAACTGGTGTTACCAGGCCTCAAGACAAAGGATACTGCAGTTCAATACAATATGTCAAAACACTCCTTCAAAACTCTCAAATGGTTCCAAACACAGCTCAGATCAACTCAAATCCCTAACACACACAATACACAACTCAATGCTTTGCACTCTAAGCAAAAACCAATCACAAACATGTCCACAAGTGACCAGAAGCATAGATCTCTGTTCACAAGTTTCCAAACCAACCGTAGACCCACAGGATTCAAACCTATGCGATCTAAAGACACAAACACAATAAAACCCTATCCAACAGACCAAAGGGTTTGAACCTCTGCCACCTGTAGTGCTGTGCATCACAAATATCTTAAAAACTCAAGATGATGCTCTTCAGACACTGCTCTCTTATTCTCAGGTTACAGTGCAATCCAAAACCTTTTATTAAACTGGGCTCAAGTCCTTCACAAGCTTTAATACCTCACTTGGTTCTCATAGTGCTCTTAGTGATATCAATAATCAGTTTATTCTCTCATCTGGAGTTACTAACACAAACCCAGAGCTAGAGTGCAAAGCTTTCTGTGTCCAATACACCGCAACTGTGGAGAGTCAGAAAACTACTCCCTCTAGTCATACAATACCATATTTAAATACTCTACTAGGATACTTACTAATACAATCCTATTATGGTATCCTCAAAGTGTGAGACTCCATGCCAGATCCTACAGATATTATTCACATGCATATTGCAGTCACCATGCTTATTCTCTTCCAGGTGATGACTGTGCCTGCTGTTTCTTCACTAGCTGACATCAGCTAGCTGGCCTTGCCAGGTCTGCTTGCTTTGTTATTTCTCTGATGATATCTCTGACAGCAGTAAACTGTCTCAGACCCCCAGAGTTATTTCTCATGCCAGGAGCCAGTCACATTGGCTATATTCTGCTTCCCTGTGTTCAACCAGTCATTCCATCTGACTCACCAAAGATGCTATTTCTTGGTATGATGCAGAGTCCCTTGCTGCATTATGCATGCTAAGGCACCATATGTATGCATGCAAAGCTCAGAGTGGTATCCATACTATTCATTCCTGGAATAATATTCCTCTACTCATTAACTTGTTGTCATCAGTCTATTCCTCTATTCAATATCTATTTACTCAGATACCTTTCTTTGGGTCTCAGTTCTCTGTTCTAAGGCATGTCCCATCAGTGCATCAATAGCTGTGCATCTTTGATCAATGTGATCAGACTTGCCAATCATATTTCGATCATAGTCTTTTTATTTTTAGCATGTCCTCTTGTAATAGTATTGGTGCATTTAGAGCCAAGTGCTGAGATCTCATATGCAGCCTAACCCCTCTGGTATTAGTCTGTTACTAGGTCATGCACTCTGCTTATTATTACTTCAGTTTAGCATTATGATAGCTAGGTTTCTGGGCACTCTAGTCCTATTTTCTGTTACATGCTTACTGGACTGGAATGCAGTCCATGTATTCGCAATTTTCACAATTTTACATGTCTGAACATGGAGAGGGCATGTCATATCCCTCCCACTAAGATCTGGACCTTTTATGGTCTCTTTAGTCAGTCTATTTCCACAGTTTCCAAAGCTCCTGTCAATATGACTGTGAGGGAGACTGTTAACCATACCATTTATGCACATGCCTTTCATCTGGCCATTGATCTCCAGTTCCACAAACCTCCTTCCCATCAGGCCCTAGAATCCATAAAGCTTTCTATGCTTTCTGTTGCTTCTGACTCTTTGACCAAGTGAGTCTTTTCTTTCTGTTTTTTGTTCACATTCTGATTGTATTTTCTTTACAAACCACCTGCATGATTGCGCAGTAGCCAGGAATATGTCTACTATTGTCATTCCAATAAAAATCCTTATTTCATCCATCCTCCTCTGGTATGTTTGTCTTTTCTGTTCCTCATTTCTATTCTTATTTTCTCACTCACTAGCTTTCCTGGCCATGCTTTAACTGCACTTTGGCTGGTTTCTTTGGCTGGTTTCTCTGAGGAGTGCATTTTTGAGAGTGGAGTTGGCAAGGAGATCTGTATGTACTATAGATCCACTCATCATGAACATTGCTCTGCACACTGGGATGCCAATCAGCTCCATTGTGCCACTACCTTATTGGACCCTCTCATTCTCAGTGATGATGGTGGTATGTCTTTTCCAATCTCTATTCATTTCTGGTCTGCCTGATTGTCTTGCTCTTAGCTATTCATCATAGCATTGACTGTATTAAGCATATTGAGATCAAGATCAAGCTGCTCACAAGGTCTCTTCAGCTCTTGTATGAGGACCAGCAGCAGGTTGTAGGCAAGCTTACTGATGGTCTTGATGCCATTGCTTCTCATGAGCATGGTACTAAGATCATCGAAGCTTATGCATAGATCTCTGATCTCCTCAAATCTTTCTTGGTATGTCTTGGTTCTAAGGATGCATCTATCAATGTGAATGCTATGGTGTCTAGCTCTGACACTGAGTAAAGCCTGGTACCTCTCTTAACACATCTTGGGTGCTTGTACTTCTTTCTGTTTCCTTTCTTCATATTATATTTTTTTGTAGATATTCTTCTTTATTTATAGCAGCACTCAGAGTCTTTAGATGCAGCCAGCAGTAGTGCTCTATTCATAGCTCATTGTCATGTTGTGTGCTCTTTTTCTTGTGGACCTGTAGGACTCTAGTATACCAATATACCTCTTTTGTTGTGCTCTTTTTGATTTCAGCTGAGCCTGAGTTTCATATTTCAATCTCTCTGGCTTACAAGAGCCCTGATTACTATGTTGGCTCATACCTGAGTCCCACACATCGGTATTCTTTGTTCATTATTTCTCCTTTTCTGTCATTTCATAAGCTGTCCTGTTGCTCTCTTCTGATCTGTTCTTCTTATTTCCTTGGTGGGATGTCAGTATCATTGCATGTTGACTCTTCTTTAACTGTCTGGATCTGTCACTGCTATCAATAATTTGATTTTCTGTCATTATTCCATTATTTCTTTTTTATTCTTCTATTTCTATGCCTAGCAGGGCTTGCAATCACAAAATTTACTGTCTCTGTTATGGTAATACTCTAGGTATACCACTATATCCCTCACACTAAAAGCATCTAACTGTTCTCAGTTATAATTCAAATGACAATTCATTTATTTTATAAGGCTAAATCAGGTTTTCAAGTCCTGCACATGTCAAACATTAGTTTTCTGAGCTCGACATCCTTAATGTCTGTCCTTTCTCACAGAATTTCTTTTTCTGTTATTATTTTCCTGATCAAATATTATTATCACATGGGTATAAAGATTGAGGGTTTTTCATCTTGTTTTGACTTCACTCACCACCTCTCTTATTGTCTTCACTGTTACTTGTCCATTTCTTCTCTGTTCTCTGTCAACATAATCTCTACTTTCATTGTTGTGAAGGTTGTCATCATGTTCCTCTGCAAGGATCCTGCTACTACTGTGAATGATCATTTTGATCAACTCCAGGAGTATACTGTATGTGTTTGTGCATTATTTCTGCCATTTTACTGACTTCTATATGATAGTCTCATCTTGAACATTATAAAAGTGAGCTCACCAAGGATAAGGACCTCAAAGAGTTGATTTTTCATGCTTGCACTGCCATTGAAAAGGAATTCCATACCAATACTTCCAAGCAGCCTATCCATAAGGTGCTCAAGACCATCACTGGGTGGGTTCAAAGTGAGCGAGGTCAGCTTGCAGATGGTGGGCCAGGTGCTCCTTCCATTCCAACTGGCCCTTGTCATGACCCTAAGTCAGTTTGTAATTGTTTTCTCTGTTTAATAGTTCCTCTGACTGATTTTCTCCTGCTAGGCTGGGGTCATTGCACGCAATAAGGGCAAAGGCCGCGCTATTCGTCGTTCTCGTGTCACCGTTGATACTGAGTCTGATGATGATGAGGATGACCCAGACAAGGTAGTGGTCTATTCTGATTCTGATACTGAGTCTATTAAAGTATGCCTAGTCTTCATGATCTCTGCTTGACTATCTGACCTCCAATCTCCTCAAGATGGTCATTGATGAGGAGGCCTCCAGGGCTGGGCGGTTTCTAAAGTTTTCCAAGACTAGATCCAGCGATGTGGTTACTGGGGACAAGTGTAAGGAACCCTACAAGGTCAGAGTCTTTGCATATTATTGGTGTCCCCTTCACTAAGAGATTGTAATTCTAGAAAGAGCCATCTTCCTGTGTGCATTGTGGCACCAATAGTCATTCTTTTGCTGATTGCTCCAACAAGAGTCAGATATGTTGTCTCTTTTTCTTGTCTACCACTTGTGTTTCTGACCAGTAAAGTGACTCAGGCAACTTCCCAAAGGTTTATCAGCAAAGATGGTGCTCATGCTTGCAAGTGTGCTAAGCTATCGTTTCCACTTCCATCAGCCCAGGAGTATTTTCCTTGTGGTTCTCATGGGATCAGAGAGCAGTGCCCTGCCTCAGCTCTTGAACTTGTTAGTGTCTGTATGTATCTCTTTTTCATTGCTCACTATGTCATTTCCTAGTTGCACTCTTTATATTTTCAGTTGCCAATGACAAGGGAGCTGCTCCTAGTGTCCATGCTTTGTGCAAGAGTTATAAAGGATCAGCCATGGGTCATTTCATGGTGGAGAGATCTGAGCATCTGGCCAAGCTTGAGAGTGCCCTCATGGGTGATGTCCTTGTGCTCCAGCACACTTTATACACTGCTGAGAAACAGCATGCTTTCCTCCTTAATGAACTTGAGCATGTCCAGTCTGCCCTTCATCTCTTGGTTCCAGCGCTAGCAGACTCTGGAGATCCTGCTCCTGTAGAGACTGAGACTCCTTTTGCTCCTTCCACCTCATCTAATGTGGAGCCTCCATCTGCCTGATCCTAGGGCAGTAGTGGTACTTGACATCTATGGTACTCATCCATCATCTGGTCATCCTTTACTGGTTTGTCATGATCTCTTATTCTCCTTTTCTGTCTTTGACTCCAATGTAGCACTCTTTTAAACCTTCTTAACTGTGTCTGACACTTTTGGAGTTGGTGAATCTTCAAACTCTTTAGTGAAGTTTGATGGCCATCTGTCTTTTGGTTCTGGTGACTCTAATATCTTTTGCAATTCTTTTGAATCTTTGCACAGCCAGTGCATGACCTTATCATCAATTTCTATGGAATTGCATGTGAGGTATGGGATCATGCAGAATGCTGCAATCTTTGAACCAATTAGCATGCCATCTAGTTCTGCCAGAATATAGTTTCTTGCACTTGAGTAGTTCAGTACAACTAAGGGACCTAGATACCATGGTTTTATCTTTGTATTCAGTGTGCTCTCAATCTGTGTATTGTGCATTAGAACTAAATCCCCTTGTTTGAAGTTATAGGACTTAATTTTATTTGCATGCATTGTTACATACTTTAATGTATCTTGTTTCTTTTTCTCATCCATATGATTACTCAACTAGCCACATCACTTCTAGCACATCAAGTGGTAATATTGAATGTGCACCAGTAACTGCAAAGAAGGAAGAGCATCCTACCCATTTTCTGACAGTGATTCTGTCAGCCCACATCACTAGCATGAAGAAATACAGCCCCACTGGCATATGATAATTGTGACCATCCACTCTTTGAGAATTTAGCTGAGCTAGTGGAATCACTCACTGCTTGGCCTGATCTTTTACCTCCTCAGGCTTGTTGTCCTGCCTGAAGTCTTCTTCTTTCTTCATTAACTCAGCGATCTGCACTCTAATATCTTTCTGCATGTGTTTGTTCTTCTTCTGAGGGTAGTTTCATGCCATATGGCCCTTCTGGCTGCAATTGAAGCACTTCCCCTCCTTCTTAAGACAATCCATGTCCATTGGCTGACCTGTTCCAGTGTATGTTGTGCCTGTACCAGTTCGCTTCTCACTGAATGAAGAAGTTGGGGCCATACTTCCAGGCTTGGTGGGTGTGGTTGCACTGAGAGTGGAGGGCTTCAGACCCTGTCCCTGATTCCTGTAACCACCCCATGATAGAGTGGCTGATTCTGCCTTCTGTCATTGTCATTCTCTGTATATGGTGATAATGCATGCCTTCCATTCATCATACCCAACCAGGATACCATGTCTGATATCTGAGATGATCTTGAGATAAGGGGCTGATACCCCCATCTTCATGTATTTGACCATTCTTCCAGTATCAGCTATGTCATCTCAGACTCTGGCAAGCTTGCTGAGTTGTTCCAGCTCATCGAAGTAATCAGTGGCTGATTTATCTCCCATCTTGAAGTCCTTCATCTTCTGTTTATAGACTTCTTGGATAGCTGGGTCTATAAACTTATTGATAATCATTTGTTTGAACACTGGCTAGAAGGGATATCAGTGATGGGATTGTGTGATAGACTAGAATATGGGAAATATCAGGGTCCATCATGTTTTAGTCTTATCAGCCATATGAGTTGCCACAAATGTCATCTTGTACATGTCAGCAAGGAAATATGAGGTGAATATCTGGAAATATTGATTACAGTCAACTAGAAAATGATTGATATTGTCAAATGCTTCTCAGAAAAGGCAGGGCTCGGATACAGGAACTGGTTTGACCTAAAGAATCTGAGCCCCTGCATCAAGGGTGGACATCAGATTTGGTAGTCCATCAGGGGGTGGTCCTGACCAGCTGCTCAAGGATCCTGGGAAAGAATGGAGAGAGCCATCATTGGCTACAGGACTCCCTAGTGGTGGTACTTCCTTCCATATGATCCACTCATTCTTGATTGTTCAGCCCTGCACAATTGCCACAGGGTCATTTTCTGTGGGGTTAAGTGGGGCTGAGGCTTCTGGAGCTTTACTGCCTTCAGCCTTGTCTGACAGAGGTTGTCTGACAAATAGTTGCTGAATCAGCAGCTTCCATGGATTCAGGTAATAGCTGCTCAGTTGGAGTCAGCTTCGGGAGAGCTGAAATGCCATGCTGCAGATGGCTGAGGTGGCAAATGAATATTATGATGATATCATTTGGATTGTTGGTGCCATGTTGGCCAGCTTAGATAGCACAACACTCAGTATCCATAGTCTTGGCATTGTGCTATACTTAAGCCTGTATGGTGGCAACACCTGCATCTGGTGTTCTAAATATCATTTATTATAAATAAAAATAGCCTGCTCAGTGGCTGCATACTGTAAAATTTCCACCTGCTTGATGTAATCAGCAGTGGTATATCTTTGACCCATAGATGACACTAACCAAGTGTCATCTATCTATAGCATAGTTGTACCATCCCAGTACAACTTCATAAAGTTCTTCTTCTGTGCCTCTTGCACTAATTCCCTCTGCTTCTCTTCATGTGTCTGTATATTCTATAAACTGATCCAGTCAGTTGGGGGATCTTCAACTTCCTCATCATGATCCTCCTCTCCCTCATCATCTGTGTCCCCACTGGTAGTCTTGCTGTCCATGTCTCCCTCAAGGAGAGAACTGTCATGCAGGTCATAGACCTCTGGAATGGCCATGCTGGGGCTGCATGCTGGGTCTGGCATCATTGGATCCAGGTTGAGAAGAAGGCTGCTGCTCAGGCTGCCCCTGCTGCTCTTTCTCATCTCCTTCCTCTGTTGCTGCTGCCATTGCTCTGCAATACCAATGGAAGTTTCAATAAAATTGGGGGTTGAGGAAAAGGGTGGTGAAATCTCTATTGAAGAACCTTCTAATGTCACCTGTGGGATCAATGCCTTCATCATCCCCTCTGACTGTCCTGTGGTCTGCTGATATTCTATCTTCTCAGATGGGAATATCGTCAGTCTCTGCAATGGTATTGGTCCTGTAAGATAGCAGGTGGTCATCATGGTGGAGGGTCAGTCAGTGGATGTTGTTCATATGGACAACTTTCTCAACTGACCCTGTTCAGGGGTCAGGCTTGCTGGCAGGAGTGGCAGGTTCCCAGAATAGAGAGTCAGGTATACTGTTGGTAGTAGTTCCAATGAGCATACTAGTTCCTCTCCCTTCCAAACCTTTTTGTCATTTCCTCTTCTGGGCATGAAGATAGCATCCAAAGAGGGTGTTCTCTTTTGTGATTTCATTATTGACCTATGCCTGCTCCTTGAGGTACTCAGAAACGTTACTGGGACATCGAACTTGATCCTCTCAGGAGAGGACCAGGATGGCATTGTCAGCTCATTGTGTTCTTTTTAGAACCATTCATATGCCCTCTGCTCAACTGGTATTACTGCTAGCTGTGTGGTGCTCCAGCTGGTCAGCCTCGATAGCAGCAGCTTGCCACCAGTCATGCTCATCGCTGTCATCATTGAAGTAGAGGTCATTATCGGCCTCTGTTCTGTGGTTAGTGCTCCTACTGTGTACTGACATGATCTCTGAAATTTCTGGTCTCTTGAGCCATCCATAGGGCATCAAGAGAGTCTCTAGCACAGCATCTAATGCTGGTGCTAGGAATGGGGGTTGTTATCCTTGTTGCTAGGATGCTTTGCTCAGGAGATGAGATAGGGGTGTCAGGTCTGGGTTGTTGAAACCCTGTAGCCCAAGGGTTTCCAGGGTCTCAGATGACTGCAGATGGGAGTCATGGGGGATATTCATGCTGCTGGCACTGCTCCTCTTCTTCTCTAGAATATTTTTCAGTCAAGCTCCCAGGGATGTTTTCAGGATTGGGTCCTTCTGCATGTCAGAAGGACTGTTGGGCAGAGGCAGGGATGTCATAGAGGAGGAGGTCTGGTGTGACATTTCATAGGATGGTGCAGTGATGTGCTTGGTAATGGCTAAGTGACTAAGAGAGGTGAATAAAGAATGAACTCTCAAACACCAACACTTAACCACTCAATACACAATCACCAAATACAGTTGAGGTCAGTTGTTTTGAGTATGATAGAAGCACTCTTGCAGTCTTAAATAAAATCAAAGAAACAGTCAATAAAGACAGTTATTCAACTCTATCTTGCTTTCAAAGATGCAATACTTGTGAGAGTAGTTTATAGCAATATTTAAATATAATTAGGACTTAGAATCAATGCCAAATTGTGCTCCAAATCAACTTAGAATATTCTGAAACTCAATGAACTCCAAAACTCAAATACTAAGTCTATCA